CTGATATACATTTTTTCTTCATAGCAAATGCTTAGAAATCTATACTATTTAAAGCCATTCTTTTCTGAAATTTGAAATAATTCCCTCAAACTAATACCAAATTGCATTCAGGAAGCACCACATAATAAAACCTCTCAGGTCTTGGTCTTTCTATGAATCCCAGTCTCAAAATTACATTTAAAATTAATGTAAAATGCCATGTAAAATTAATGCTCCCCCCTGTCCCCCTACTGCAAAAAAAAACAATCATATCATTGCACTTCCCTAGTGATCTGCTGTAGCTGTATTATGACCAATTTCGGCAAAATTAACATTTATGTCGTGGTGGTGTAATGCTTTCACACAGAAAATTTCAACACAGAGTTACCATTGTAGACAACAATTTCGTACGTCCCAGCCAGATGGGATTGCCTCTCTAGAATTTTCGTCAAGGACGCAGCATACTTCTGCACCTCCCGCAGCTTATCCTGCTCTGTGAAGCCAGTCAGCTCGAAATCTTCTGTCATGTCTCGGAGCGTGAGCAGATCTGCTGGCATGTCAGCGACGAATGTTACCTCCTAAAATATTATCAAAACAACCGTAAATACAATTCGATATAGCTACCATATATAATACATTAGTGCCACTTTGCATACTTTATTTATACTCCAGTAATTAATATCCATGTAGTAATCATATTAATAACACATTCCTGTAGTTGCATCTAATTACACTGATACATGATTACTGAAGTTTATATTAACCAGATGTAGAAAGATTTCCCTTTAGATGGCCCTCAGTCGTCAAGCTAGTTCTAAATCGGTAACTCCTAAATGTGGGATTTGAATTGAAGCCTCGCTTCTATGAACAAACTCTTTCCACTTGACATTTGTGCTTACCTTTTCATTATGAACTGATCCATAGACGTTGTTATGGTACTTTCTTTTGAATCCAGCTCTGTCTATCATCAATGGAGCTAACGTTCCAACCTGTCGTATGCTCTTGTCGACGTCCTGCTGCTTCCCTGGCATCTCACCATTAGCAGGGATTAGAATAAACAACTTCTTATTTGTTGTGCTTTTGTCATATTCACTGCTGCTGATCCTATCTGCCACACTAGGCAATACCAGATTTAGGTAGCCGGCATAGTAGTTATATGCAAGTCCTTCTCCCAATGACATCTGAAATGAAATTTCAATTTAATACTCAACTAGTAGTCTAGTAACATCAATAGAAATATACACTGACATAACATCAATTTCTCATCAGGAAATGCTATGGACTTTTATTTATAACTTAAACATTCTAGGCGGATACAAGATATATGGCACTGTCGGGTATGAAAATGGTTTGTACAAAATTGAAAAGTGCTAAAGCAAGCACTGTGAACCACATAGTCACAATTTTGACCTTACATACTAGTAGTCTGTTTTGTAGCCAGAAAATTTCTACCCTCAATGCACCACTTTTTGAGATGTGAAATTAGCTTATTGTCCTATATATTTCCTAATGACTTCTATGCATCCAAAAACTTCTACAATTCTATGCAAGCAAATGCAAGCAATTAAGTTACTAATTAAAAAACAAATAGCAACACAAAAAAATTTTCCAATCTAGATCACATACTCGCACACAGATATACACAGAGCTTCATACACACACGCACTTTTACACACATATATTATACACAGCTTTGTGGCAGAATTTCTTTGCTGCTTTAGTCATAGGCGTCTACTCCGTACAGTGTATACAGTATATTTCTTCGGTTTTAGTATTAAAAAACTAATTCCACTACAGCAAAATAACAGTAATTATATCACGTCCACGATTTGATCATATAAGAGATTGATTGGCGAAAATGTTTTAATCGGTAGGTGGCGGTACTATCATTACAGTTAGCTGGACACTTCAGTCTTTTTTTGTTATATATATTATTATATTATATGTTTTATTATATCATGTATATATTTTTCTCAGGTTTTAACAAAGTCTCAGTATAATCAGTATAAATCACTGAATTTCCACACTACTTTTTTTTCATAACCTCAAAGATTAGTCATCATCGTTCAATGGACTATAATATTCTATCGAAGACAACGAGACAAAATTTATCAAATATAAATACAGATCAACACTGTCAAAACTGAAAATTGCAGTAGAAAAAATTTCAAATTTGCAATTATTAAACCAAAGAGGAAGGAAGAGAATTCCAATATAGCATGACAGAAATAAAGAAATTAAGCTAAACTTAAAAGGATCCTTTGAAGATGGCACATGTCGAAAGCAATTATGATCACGCTCAGATAACCAAGTGCAAATCTTCACACGACCATGATAAATTTGAATATAAATAATTAAATAATTTGATACTTTAAATGAAAGGTTACAAGTTTAGCATGGAGAAATCAGACACAGAGAGGAGGTCAATCAGCTTGAGTTAAAGGACCAGGCTCTATGCGCGCAAATTGATTGTTTATAGATGGCGAAATGGTTTTCTCCCGATAAGAAACTCGCCGTGAAACTTCTCAAAACAAAATAAACTCAAGAACCATCATGATAATCTTTGAAACCCCACCTCGCAGCTTTGTACTGGATGGCATGTAATTTAGAACGGTTCTGAAGTGTATAGAGGCACCAGCCTGATGAAGCATATTCTAATATGAAGAGTACCATAGTTTTAAAAGCCAGGGACCAAGTTTTAGAAATGGCAAAGCCAAGATTAGGTTATATAGTCCATGAGCCAGACCAGATATTGGTACCACCTGGGGTGGCAAATCCTCACTATGTTTTTTTGAAAGGGCTATATCCATAGATGAAAAAAAAACCATGAAGCAAGCCGAGACTCACAGCTTAATGGTAGAAATTTCCACTTCGTATATGGG